TAGTCTTCAACTTTTCCTGATAAGAAGACAATAGTAATATCTTTGTGAAAAGTTAAATATTTTAAATACCTACCAGTACTTTGCATATTTAAGTTATTGTTTAATTGAAAATAAGGACAAGAAAATTGTCTTTACATATGTTAGAAATGAAGGAGAAATTGGAGACAGAATTGTCAGAAGTACTGTCAGATCTGGCAAACACAGAAGAAAACATGTTGATGAATTTATACCAGCAACAGAACTTGTATGTATTAAGTGTACTTACCATTACTGAGTTAGAAATATCATCTTTTTCTTCCACAGCATGCTCAAAATGAGTAGACCTACATGCAAATGAGTCACATAAGGAAAGTTCGCACACAATACAAAAAAGTGATTGTGGACGGCCATGTTTTTTACACAATTCAAATGCCAAATCCTTATTCTCATCTTTGTTTGGTTGTCCATGAAACCAATCGAAGCATTGAATTCCACCTGTAAATCTTACTCCAGTATCTAGAGGATTAACCTTACTCGATGCCTTCCTCGGAACCTTGTCTATCTTCAATTCATCAAATTTATACTCATCAACCTCTTCCTTGTTTTGTGATAGTATATTCGTTTCTCCATTATTTTCCACTGCAACATGATTGGGATTTTCATTATTTTCAAATAAAAGATGACCTGGAATTGAAGACTTAATGGTGTCTACACTTTCATTTTCTCTTTTTTTAAGTGAATGGACATCTGAATCTTCAATACAGTTTACCAAACTAGCATTGCATTTTTCTTCATTTTCAGATCCAGGATAAAATGATGTCTTCTCAATGATGTCTTCTCTTCCTTCTTTACTTCTTTCTTCAATTGAATGGACATCGGCTTCTTGTGTTTTTTCTTGAGATACTCTAGAATCAGCATTATTGACATCAGATTGAGGAGTAAACAACTCTACCTCAGCTATATCTGAATTTTTGCTGTGATCACCAGAAGCATCTTCCTGCAGATTTGAAGCATTGGCCTCCTGTTGATGGCATGTATCAACCACACTATCTGTTGTTGAGATTGATGTTTGCAACAGCAGTGCAGAATGCAATCCAGAGCATCTTACTCCACCATCTCTATAATCATTGAAGTAAAAAAGTGTACTGCTGTCATCGTCAACTCTGTCCTCTGATATCTTTGAAGAACTAGTCTCAGACATAGTCTTTATAGGGACTTCTTGGTTATACTCATCATGTGACTCATTCATTGAATCATGGTTTCCTTCTGCTACATCTTGCTTTATGAGTTCTTTACCTGTTATGTCTGCCATGACAATATACAGTTTTCTATGGTTTATGCTGTGAAATATAGAACTTTTCTATTAACATTTTTTTAAAATAAATATTTTATAATTAATATAAGCTGTTTTTGTGGTAAAGAAAGAAGAAAAAAATTAATACAGTATTAGACAGTCAAATGAAAGTTATAAAATGGTGAAAAAGTTTTAAAAACCAACATTTTTTTTTATAAAGTTACAGCTTTTGGCTTGTCTTTGCCACATATTTTATTATTTAACATTATGCATAATTTAAAAATTGTTATGGAAATTCTTAAAAGGAATAGCAGGTCTAAAGGTTATTCATGTATACAGCACAAAATGCAAAAAGCAAAAAGTGTGGCTCGGCAGCCCGACAGCGATTTTTATGCCCACGACCGACCGATTTTTATGCCCACCCCTGTATTAAAGTGAAGAATTTTGCAGGAATCAGCACGCTGAAAAACATAAATTTGAGTGTGGTTAAATAAAGCTATAAGATTTATGATGATGATGATGCAGGTTAATATTTGAATTGCATGATAGATGTAGAGTGTCAGATATCATGTGGGAGATCATTCCAGAGGCTGTGGGTGCAGCAGCACAGAATCCTTTAATTGCAAGAGGAGACCAACTGCAATTAGACTGTTAAGTTTCATGAAGCAATAGATAACAGAACATGCATGTTTCTATATAAATTTAATGGAACTTGTTTTGACCTGAAATGCCATATTTCTGACCGTATTACAGGGGTTTAGCCAGAAAAATGAAATAGGCCATCCAAAATATTCTTTTACTTTAATGCAACATTTGATAGATTTAGAATATAAAGAATTTGCTAATTAGAAAACTATTAGAGTACATAACAAACACACATATTGTAAATATTTTATTACAAAATGCAACTTTCTATTACCTGTGGATGCCAAGATATATGAACCTTTTATTTTCATACCTAATTTGCAAATTTAGAAAGGTATAAAATGGTATTTTTGATTATTTTTTTCACAAAATTTCATTAGAGTAAATAGTGACATGCATATTCTGAACATGGATGGAAAATGGATTCTTTAAGACAATTGTTGTTAAGATATATAAACCTATATTTCCACACCAAATTTGCATGTTTAAGCTAATTTACATATTAACAGGAGCGTTAACACATTTGGGACAAAGTTTATTCAGTTCAACATGCTTTAAACTATAAATTCCAGACCAAAACAAATAAAAAAGAGGCATTTCTCTACGACCAATCGCTGCTAAGATAGGGAAACCTTAGATATTCACCTCTAATTTGCGTGTATAAACTGATTCGCATATGGGGTGTGAACAATATTGGTGACAAAGTTTATTCGATTCAGCATGCTTTAAACTGTAGATTCCAGACAAAAACAAATTAAAAAGCAGCTTTCTAATGCAGGGTTTTGAATACGAAAAAAGGATTGATCTTTACCACCAATGGTTGTCAAGATATGGGAACCCATACTTTTGCCAGTAATATGCATATTTAAGGTAATTTACAGGGACTGTGGGTGCAAAATTGGTGACTGCATGCTTCAAACTTCCAGATAAATCCGCTTATTTTTTAACAGTCATAACATGAAAACTACTAGGCCGATTTTGAAATAGTAAATATCATTGAAAAGGAGATGCTCTGAGGATTCCAAATAGGATGAGGTTAATACTAAATGACCTTTTGACCTCTATTTGACCGTGATTTGACCATGTGAAAAGTGATGGCTATAACATATATAAAAAGCTAAGATATGTTTTTTTCCATTACTTGATATATGCAATTGTATGGAAGTTGGTTGAATATTACAAGGGTCACCCATATAAATCTAGTGTAAAAAAAATTAAAAAATGATATGTTTGATTACACAATTTCCAGTGAGAACCTCTTTAGAGACAAGAATAAATGCTTGAAATGAAATATCTATAATGCTTATATGCCCTAATTTTGTTTTTCTGATGCATCTAATGTCTGTATCTTTTTAATCAAATTTTGTTATGCCTTAGTATTATAGGACTATGATAAAATCTTTCTGAGTGTTCCTGGCAACTCAAGGGTGGAAGTGGTCATTGCTACAATGATTACTGAAAGAAAAAAAATTTGACTGTACCTATTTTTGTTATGCTACAGTGCATATTTTGTAATCTAAATCATAACGTAAAAAGAAATTAATAAAATTTAAAATTTGACCACTATACTTGAATTTGTGAGTATTTTTTTACACCACTAATCAATTCCTTGGCCCTAAAAAACATATATACCGGTAGACCATAATATTACTTCAGATAAAAAAGTTATGACATTTCACGAAGAGGGGTAATTTTTTCCCCCAGCCCCTCAATTTCATTTTTTGGCCCGCACTGTACTATTTTCCAACATGCTTTCTTAAAAAAGGTGTCAAAATGCTCAGAACAATGGACTGCTTTATTTTTAAGACCTGTACATTTGGTATTTGATACATCACCCATTTATAGCCCACTACTGGTTGTATCTATCACAATATTTCTTAAAACCTGCTATATTTAACGGTTTATTACATTAAAATTTAAACTGGGGCAAAAAATATCTTAGCTTTTACTATCTTTTTATAGAACATTTCTAAAATCCCAAAATACAGGATTTTTACATCATAATTTTTGTTCCACAAGGTCAAAGGTCAAAATAAAGGTAAAATGCAAAATTGAATTTAAATTCATTGTACTGCAATTCTAATAACAGATTTGGAATCCTTGTCCAATCTCCTTTAATCGGACCAACATTTAGATTTATTTGCATATTGAAAAATGGCGGTCATGCATAATTTTGCCATTTTCAGCAAGTTTTGATCGGCCATAACTTTTGATTCGTTGGTCCGATTTTGAAAAAAATTAAAATTTCGCTTTTTCCTACCCAAATAAACCTACAAATCAAATTTGGTCAAAATCTGAGATGGTAAGGTGTAAATCTCTCTTTTATTGGGTGATCTGACATGGAATGACCCCCTAATTTGCATATTTAAACTAAATTTGCATACGAAAAGATGTGAGTAACAAACTAAAATTGGTGAATCATTTTATTAGATTCAGCTATACTAGTAGTAGTAGCGGTAAAAAGTTTATTTGCCACAAACAACACACCTGCTACAGCTACACCCACAGAGTGACACCATAATAAAAATGTCTTCCTGCTCTGACAGCTGGCTACACTACTACACTGCAAGTCCACCAAAATTAGGCCTACTGCATTATATTCAAAATTTAAGGATTCTTTGATATAAGATAAATTATTATTATTTTATGTTTGTTTTGCAACTCACTGATTTAGACCAGCTTGACTGACTTTGACTTCTCTGTATTTTTATCCATTGACTTTCTTATCAGATTTTTTATCAATGGAAAATGGAATTTCCCAGATTGTAAAGTTAGGTAAGTCGGTGGTGTTGCCAGTTGTTTACCGCGGTATACCGCCCTCTAATAATGATGGATTCTATCAAACCAAAGATCTCGGACATTACTGTGCAGTTATCAAAGAATATAGATATTTATTCTTTGGTATTATTAGTAGATAGCGTTCTCCGCGATTTCTGCATGCGCTGTAATAAAGGAGCGGTGGCGGATCTAGGATTTAGCAGTGGGGTGTGGGGTGTTGGGGTGGATAATGGGAGGTGAGAAGGCCCGCCCAAGCGGGAGTGGTTTTTCGGAGGGGTCCCCTTACATTTGAGATTTTTTGTAGGTGTATAAGTCCCGGGCCGGTTGAATATGTTTTAATAGAGTGATAATGAAAAATCAATTTTTAAAAATGCTAAATGTGCCTAGTGAATGGGTCGCAGAATGCAATATATTGTATTGATTACTGAATAACAGTGTAGATCATCGGAAATGCGACAACGGCGCGCCATACCATGCGGTGTGGTAGTGAGGCTGGCCGTTGGGGGCGTGAATGATTGTTATGGTTGCATTGTAGGTTTCGTACAATTGAGGCCTAAATAATTTTTATTATTAAGATTTTGTCGAAGCTACATATTTTAAAATGGCCCAGAGGCAGTGGGCAAAGAAGAAAACAACCATGTCTGTTTTGTCATACCACCAAAACCGGCAAATAACAGACGATTTACAATTCACCAGTCAATTTCTAAGCCGGAGATTTGCATCCAGCGAAGGCCTTTTCAGGAAGAACCTGATGGGGCATTTCGGCTGCATCAATGCTATAGAGTTCAGCAACAAAGGGGGAAATTTTCTTGCTTCTGGTAGGCCTGGAAATTTCCATCATTTGATTGGTTTAACGTGTATTTATAAATTTTCGTTTAGTATTTAAACACTAGAATTATATATTCAGTAACGTATTTTCAACCGTCCGTACATCTGCCAGAAGTTGATGATCCAGACTGGATCTTAGAGTTATTATATCAATATCTTTGTTGTGCTAAGCTAGTACTAGTAGTAGAGTAGGAAGTTCATGTACATTTGAAAGCTATATAGCACACTTAAAGTCTCCAGAATTTGGATACTCTGATTTGGATGATGAAAATATTTATATGTAAACCAACTGGTCGTAAACAAATTTTGTGTATTTATATTTTTTTATTGACCTTGTCACTGGTATTGCATAATAATTAATAATGTGATTTATAATTCAGTGGTGATGTCATCACTTTTACTGTATTTGCACAGAATTTTCCTACTCCAGACCAATACTGGTTTGATATAGTGCCTCCGATATTTGGCTGGTGATTTTTATATCGCGATGGAATATTCCATTGCTATGCCAAGCTATGAATGTACACAGCGAACCTAACAAATCTCGCTCTACGGCGCTGGTTAACACAAAGGCATAATAGTTATGAGATAATAAACAAGGTGATTGACTTGTAAAGAACTGAAAAAATAAGGCAATGCTAAATGAGACCATCTGTGTAAGTGCGCTTAATAAATATTTAAATTATTATTATTATTATTAAATAATCCATAATAATGTTTACAGAGCAGCTTACCTCAGTTGGCTAAACTGGTGGTAGCCACTGTGTGTGTGCTGAACTGTGGAGGTCTCATGGTCCCTGGTTAAATTCTTATCGCTGCTCTCCTTGTATTTCAGCTAGAGGGCTGAAATGCAATTTACGATAGCGCACCGTCTTTTGGATGAGACATTTAAGCCGTTGGTTCTGTGTGCATTATGGCCCATGTGCACGTTAAAGAACACTCTTCGGAAAAAGTAGGGGATTGTCTCCCTGTGTACTGCCCAATCACCACCAGATGGACCCCACTGGAAATGAGTCTTCAAACTTTCATGGGTTATCCTAGGTGTTTACACCAAATAATTCCAATACACTACATTTTAATCTTATTAAACAAATGCATGAGAATGAATATAATGGGTTCATTCTAAATTCTTACACAGACTAAAGTAGTGTTTAAAAGTTTCTAAATCTTAACTTTTACTTCCAAGAAATGTTTATGACTCAATTTAATAGTGTTGTATGGGTTTAAAAATCACACACCATCTTAATTATGGGCTCTTGTCATTACTAGGTGGAGATGATCGTCGGATTGTACTTTGGAACATGCAAGATGCAATATCAAATGTTGGCAGCGCTCATTTCAGCAACCATCCGGAGAGTTCCCGGAACAAGCTTCAGAAGAAATTGAAGACCGTTACTTTGAGAGGAGAACACCATTCAAACATATTTTCACTGGCATTTGACAGTCAAAATAAAAATATTTTCTCCGGCGGTAATGATGCGCAGGTCCTTGTTCATGATATGCAAACGTAATCACAAACATTAATTGAAATTTGTAGTTTGAATTTTAATACTAACTTGTGGAAGCATGTGGCACAGGTACATATAATTTTAAATGTATTGGCACAGATTGAAATTTGGTAACAGTTACACCCTACCAATAACAGGTACAGTTAGAATAAGAGAGACAAAACAATAGATGAAATGCAGTGTCCAAGTACACAAGTATTATATAAACTATAAGAATTGAAATTAGAATAAAACTGCTTAGGAAAAAAATGACGAAATGGTTAAGTTTGAGGCTTTTAACCTTGAGGTCAAAGGTTTGAATGTCATGCTACAGCAGCTGTACTTTTCACCATAAACAAGATAATCTGAGATTACAAACCCTCGCCCTGTTGCGCCATATCTTTGTATATAGTTGATGCGCTCGATCTGCTGGTTGTTGTATTATAGGGGTGTAATATTACCAGCTATATAAAGTCAGGGAGGACCGAGATATATGTAATATTGTCAATGTGTGAAAGTTTGAGGTTAATCAGTCCTGTAGTTTTTTTTTTTTCGAGTTATGCTCCCGGAAGGACAAACACACCACAGACAGACAGAGCTCATTGCAATGCCCTCTTCCCTCCTTCTGGGGGCGAGGGTAAATATTATCATTATTACTATTATATGTTATTTTTTTTCAGAGCCATTTGTATTAGCAAACTATGCAACTTCATTTCATGCTGTGGTCTACCACCCAATGGAATCAAGGTTCCTGGCAACGGCTAATTGTAAAGAAGGGTTGGCATTATGGGATGTGCGGAAACCAAGATCGTAAGTTGGCAATGGTGTATCCATGTTTATAGTTTGTTCCTTTTCCTTTTACATTCAATGAAAATATTATGAAAAAACCTTATTATCTAAGTTAATACAGAAATTTTTTTTCAGAGAACCATAATTTACCAGAAAGGACAGTTACAACTTAAAGTGAAAAAGAAAGTGGTTTGAGGCAACATTTTTTATACCTTGTTAAAAAGTATGCGTGGAGAGCCATAAACCCGCCTATGAAAATAGTTGAGATTTTTATTTAGCCAGACTGATTGGTGTATTAATTTATTCTACCATTATTGCCTCACTAATATAAGAAGATTTTGAAGACAATAAGATTGAAATTCTTTTCATTTTTTAGTTCATTGTTAAGGTATAGTGGCGTATCGCAACAGAGTGCCATGAGCGTTTGCTTCGACCAACTTGGAAGACGATTGCTGGGGTTACGACGGCGATTACCACCAGTACTCTACGATCTCCATAATGCTGTTCCTACTTACCAGTTCGACCACTCAGGCTACTACAATTCCTGTACCATGAAGACTGGCTGCTTTGCAGGGGATAAGCATCAGGTAATAATGTTTCTTATACCTCGCTGGCAAAACCTTCACACCCGTCCCCATACCCTGTCACAGGTATTCATGCTATGTACAGTATATTAATGTTTAGTGTGCACACTTTGATGTAAACAAGGCTACAGACAACATCATACACAGCAAATAAAAGATGGGAATTTTTACATTTTCAAGATGTATAAAGAAAAAATATGGATGGTCTGTATAATATTTAGGCCAAACTGGAATTACATTGGTCAACAGAAACTTTTTCAGTTTTTCTATAAAGATTATTTTTGATAGATGCACTATAATTTTAAGGTTTAAGGATGGAGCATGTTTCATTGGTGCAACAGTACCTCTTCAAACTATAGTTTTTCTATGAAGCTAGTTTTGATAGATGCACTGGAATATTAAGGTTCAAGGAGGGAGGATGTTTCATTGGTGCAACAGTATCTTTTCAGACTATGAAATTTTGATATATTCACAGATATTATATGGTAACTACTGAAACCTTAATAGATATTATCTTGAGCCTTTTGGCATTTTGAAATGTTCTTTTTTCCAGTATGTTGTGTCAGGCTCTGATGATTTTAACTTGTATGTGTGGCAAGTACCGGAAGGTCCTGTTGAAGGTAAGATTGTGCATTCTCCCCAGTGGGGTAAGGGAGGTGTGTCTTACAGTGTGTGATAATTCTTTAAATATTTGCAATGCATTCATAATATACAACTGTATGTATTAAAATCTTGCACCATTTCAAGAAAAAAAACGGGTGAGAAATCAACCCTTAATATGTTTATTTAGACAAGTTCTACTAGTTTGTGTTTGTTTATTTCTTGTAGAGGGCTGGGTTGGTGAGGCACATATGGTCTTGCAGGGTCATCGCTCGATTGTTAATCAGGTTTGTTTCAATCGTCACACACACATGATCGCTTCATCAGGTGTGGAGAAAGTTATAAAGGTAAATTGACAAAATCTTGACATCTATCTTTATATTTGTCGTATCCACTAATATTTGCATTATGTTTCCCTCACCATTTCAAATAATTCTCTAAGGTTGCTCTGTCATTTCAACCCTGAAGGTAATCAACCAGTGACTCATCAATCACTTAATAAATCAATGATGACCAATGAACACAACATACCAGTTACTCTGTCATCCAATTAATCAATCAATTACTCTTGTAGTGTGGACAGATCATTGGAATCCTTTGTATGACTGCAACTCATATCATGATATAGTAATTACCATTACTTCTGAATATCTGTTTACTCTCTCTCTTAATAGTTATGGAGTCCATTTGCTTTACCTGATAGTCGAGGTAATGTACGTGGGGACCAAGATTTATGGGAGGTTGACCGACCTATGTACAATCGTGGAGAATATCTGAACCTGATGATGAACAGCAGTTCAGCTCTGTCGTATGATTACAGTAACCAATCAATGGAAGAGGATCCTCGCATGATTGCATTCTTTGATTCATTAGTTCAACGTGAAGTTGATGGCGGCTTTAGTGACTCCTCTGACAGTTATGTCAGTACTGATCAGATGTTACTGTCAGTCACAGACTTCCAATTGATTGATGTTGACAATCAATCAGACTCTGATAGCTTATCACCGGACACAACTATCATTTTACAACTTGAACGACAACAACAAGAATCAACTGATGGCAACACAGAAAGACAACAACCAAAGGTTGGTGCTTCTGGCGAATCTCAGGAACCTAGCACAATTGACTCTTTAACAGCATCTGGTTCCAATCACGGTACAAAAAGAGCTGCTGCAGACTCTTCCAGCAGCGATAGTGATCTGACAGACACAGATGAAGAAGGGAGGCGTTTGTTTGAACGCTATTGCGCAAAACAGCGAGAACTTTATCGCAAAAATAGACGGCGCAAAAGAATGAAACAAACAAATCAGCAAATTGATAGTAACAAATTAGTAAGTCTTCGTCAAAGACTTGCATGCAAGAAAGCTCTTAAACATAAGATGCATAAGAAATCAACAAAGACTTCATCCGTTAAGATTGTAATTGGAAGTGCTTCAAGCGATGAAGAAGAAGAAACTGTCACAAAAAATACATTACCACTGGTACAAAATGCTCCAACAGCTCATCAAGATTCTGTGCGCTCTCTACGGAGACGGATAGCTTTTGTAAGGAACCAAGATGACCTTGATGGTCAAAAAACTGAAACTAGAGATCATAATGTCAGTGCTGGAAATGAAGGACATAGTTCATCAGGTACTGCGGGAAAACAGCAGACTATAAGTGGTGTCAGTGCTGGGTCTGATAGTGAAGACCAGCCGTCATGTAGCTGGGATGTATCGCATCATGAAAGAGAAAAAGCGCAGAATTTACAAGCTCAACTCTCTTTTGAAAATGAAAATAAAGACAGTGATAACAATGATGAAAGTCAAGGATTTAAACGGAAGCAAAAAAAAAGTAAAAGACAGTATCGCTCAAACAAACGCGATTAATGAGAACTAATGAATGTTTTTAAAATATTTATTTTATTTTGTCACATACTTGCATTAATGGTGCATTTTTTTTTTATTTCAAAAATATCAAAGAAAAATCATTGTATGGCAGACGAAGCTAAACTGCAGAAATAATTTACTGTACACCGTACTAACTGTACTTGACTGAATGCCTAATAAAAAGTGAAACCTCCTGTTATTGAGCAATGCTATCAACCGGTCAATACGGTTGAGTTTCTTCACACAGTATCTCCATAGCTATACTATTGCCTGTGCAGTCAGGAATCCAATGTTTATTTGCTTACTTAAATTTTACAAGATTCCAAGAGGATAGCACTTACAGAATTGTTATAATTTTAATTTTAAAGGCATTATTTTACAAGCGACAGATATTAGACATTCAATATTCTGTAGAACAGTTGCATATTGTGCGCCAAACTGGTTGCAATGGACAATCACTGGATGTTCTTGAACATTGTGATTATTTTATTTAATAATACAGTAGTTCCATGCTTTAACAAACTTAATAAATATTAATATGAAATATATCATCTCAGAATGTTTTTTATATATATTTTCGCGTCTTCATACAAGTGTTAAATGGTGTAGTTGGGGTACCAATGTACAAAGTAGACTGGCCACTTCAAGTAGTGCATGTATATCTGTACTTCCCAAAACTTTGTTGAATTTATCAGAAGCTCTTCATCTGTGAGACATCAACAATACAACTTGTACAATAATTTAAAATTAACCAATCAATCTGAATTCAGATGAGTTTATTCACGAGAACATTATTTATGTGTACAGTGGATAAAAATCCTAATATCTATTAATATAACAAATGTATATTTAATGGTTACTAAATTAGGCCAGAAAAAAATGTTTTTGTTTTTTGACAAAATATTTTTTTTGTTACTGAAGCATTAGCTCAAAAAAATAGTATTAACAAGACGTTTTTAGATTGGATTGAATACATACTACTACTAATTGTTCTCTAGATGATCAAAACCAAAAATCATAATGGCCACTGTGATAAAAGTACTGTACTGTAAATGTTTCAAAACATTCCAATGTATGAATTAGTGACCAAACCAATGAATATGTAAAACTATGGTGCAATCAAGAATAGAGTTGACAGCAGCTCCCAGCAACAGCAAGGGATCTGAGAGGAACTTTTCCTCATTGGACAAGAATGGACCTCTGTCGTCGAATGACAAGAAAATGTTGTCAGACCAAAAATATTAATTTTCATATTCAAATGTTATTTTAATTGCCAATCCTTAATATTGTGGTCTAAATGCACAATTTTGGGCCATTCTAAACCATAAAAATCTCACCCCGTGAACTACAACCAGGGGTTTTACTCTGAGGCCCACACAGGGGTACTAGGCTTCCCTTTGGTACGCATCCCTCCGTCGAAATTGTACCTTTGTCAGCAAATTTCTGGAGCCACCACTGGTTAAAACAAGTTTCAGAATCAATGATCTCGAAGAGATGGAAGATTTTTCTTTCCATACCTTGCTTAAATTGCAACAACATTATTAAACATTTATTTTACATATAATCTTTTTCAACAGTAATGCATTTTTTTTGCATATAGTTCTTAATATATAAATCTATTCCTAGCCAATATCTTTAATTATACACAACTTTTACATAAAATTAAGTGATCCTATATCTATATATTAGTGAAAAATCTATCATATATTACTTATAAAAAAATATCAATTTATCAGTAGTTGGAAAATTAATTGTTGTGGACTCCTTCAAATATTTGACACAATTTAATAAGACTTAATGCTGTTTGCTAGGAGAGATATATTTTTACCTTGTTTAGCAAACTTGATTTTTGACAGAAGAATGTGACTGCCGAAATCATCTAGGAGAGAAACTAAAATGTTATCGATGAATAATAGTTATTGTGCAGAGTAAAAGGTAGAGAGTGCCCTCAGGCCCTATCTCAAGATCTTACCACATCAGAGGGTTATAGGTTCACTAATTACAAGGTATAAAAAAATCTTCCCCTAGCAGTCGGTTGCTTTCTTTGACTGCATTTATTCTCCATATTTTTGTCAATTATTTTTTATCCTTTTTGTACATTTAAGAAAACAAAAATCTTATCAACGACATGTAAAGCCTTAAGCTCCGTTCACACTATCAATGTGACAAAATGATTGTGACACGCCTACATATGCAGTGGTGTATCTAGGGGAGGGTGCGGGGAACGCACGCCCCCCCATATTATTCGCCCCTACCAGTCGGCCCCCCCCTAAATCAGAGTCAAGTAGTTAAAAATCACCTAAAATCACCATATTTTGCGAATTAGCACCCCTCAACTAATCATCGACCCTCCACTTTACCTTCGCGCCCCCACCCCACTTCTAGATACGGCACTGTACATATGGGCTCGACCAAAACAAATCCACTCCCTAAACCTCATACTGAGACTTAGTTTGTGTATAAAGCATTGTGTGTGTATAATTGTTTTGTGAAAGGGATTGTCACCTACAAGTAGGACAGTGATGCATGTGCCTAAATAAATAAATTAAAAAAATATTACACCCAAATATGGGCATATCACATTTATTTGTCACATGAAATCTTATAGTATGGACACGGCTTTAGATTAGTATAAGGTGCTGCTACTTTTTGTTCAACGGCATTTTGTGATTTCTTGCTTTAGTTTAAAAACCTTATACTCATCATCTGTCCTGGATCGTTTCTTTCAAGAGCCTGCAAAAAATAGAACACACAATAACGTATCAACCAGATAGCAAACATCTTATAATAACAAGATACCATTCTCTGCGGTTTTACGTGTAACAAAATGAAAAACCAGAAAGCAACAAAAAGTAATTGTGATTGAGAAAGGGCGTGTCGTCCTAGTTATTACCATGGTTATTACAGAATTTGCACAAAGATTATAGATGTCAAAGTTAAAAAGTAACTGTAAGTGTGAGAGGTCACTCTACACCACGTTGTTACAGGATTTACGTGCAGAAATGGTGGAGAATGCTATCTTGTTATTATTAAGATCTTTGCCAGATAGTTATAATTAGGTTTTATTCAATTATATTTACTTGGTTCATTTCAATTGTATTTATTCAGACAAAAATAATTTGAAATTACAAAGGCACAAAACAAAGGTCTGGGCCCTAAAAATTAGTCTGTAACTATTAACATATAAAATATAAATACAAAATGTTTCAGCAGCACTAGGCCCCTTGAATAGTTCACAATCATGCACTTAATGCATGAGTGCACGCATAGCCTGACAGTATTGGGAAATTACACAAGAAAACATACTGTAGACAGTATTGATTTTTGCTGCATTTTGTACAAGAAAAATGGAAGCTAAATGAAAGAGTATGGATTATTACTCAGAATGTTGTGCATTTACATTTAAATTTTGTCCACACTGTCAAATTTTATGTGAAATTTGTGTGATGTGCCCATATATGGGCATGATGATGTCATATTACACCCAAAATATGGGAATATCACAGTTATTTGTCACATAAAATTTGATAATGTGGACAAAGCTTTAGGCAAATATAATTTCTTTCTAGAAAGAGACGCTGCAAGAAAAGACATGGCTTATGGCAATGTACAAAGAGTCTACTACATAAGGTTTAAACTGTGGAACTTCATCATTGATATTCTAAATATTTGCTGCCCTTGAACAGAATATTAGACCTTTAAAACAAAAGCAGTGGCATTACAGCTATAAACTCTCACTGACTAAACCCAGGGCTCTGGATCGTAGCCCCACCCTCATCCCCTCCCCTCCCCTTCCCGGATATTAATTATCAGTATTTTTTTGCTAGGACCATGGGCCCCAAAACAGGGAAGCTTAATAAGAAGAATGTGTACAACAATATTAAATATGCCTTAAAACGTTGCCCATACAACACTTGGGTCTACATCATGGTTCTCTGGGTATAAAGGACCCAAAGATAGCAGGGCCCTCTTTGTTATTCCACTATAACTTATAAGAAAAGGCAATAATAAACCATCAGTCTTCAGCTTCAATAGGGAAGTCATACCTCAGTGGTACTCCAGCTCAGTAGTATGCTATAAGCTACAATATACTGTACTCTGTCTCTTATACACATCTAGATGTGTATAAGAGACAGGTATAATTGTTTTTTGAAAGGGATTGTCACCTACAAGTAGGACAGTGATACGTTCCTTGTTGACAATCCTTGGTGCATGTGCCTAAATAAATAAATAAAAAAATATTACACCCAAATATGGGCATATCACATTTATTTGTCACATGAAATCTGATAGTATGGACACGGCTTTAGATTAGTACAGGTGCTGCTACTTTTTGTTCAACGGCATTTTGTGATTTCTTGCTTTAGTTTAAAAACCTTATACTCATCATCTGTCCTGGATCGTTTCTTTCAAGAGCCTGCAAAAAATAGAACACACAATAACGTATCAACCAGATAGCAAACATCTTATAATAACAAGAACCCTTCTCTGCGGTTTTACATGTAACAAAATGAAAAACCAGAAAGCAACAAAAAGTAATTGTAATTGAGAAAGGGCGTGTCGTCCTAGTTATTACCATGGTTGTTACAGAATTTGCACAAATATCATAGATGTCAAAGTTAAAAAGTAACTGTAAGTGTGAGAGGTCACTCTACACCACGTTGTTACAGGATTTACGTGCAGAAATCGTGGAGAATGCTATCTTGTTATTATTAAGATCTTTGCCAGATAGATATAATTGGGTTTTCTTTCAATTATATTTACTTGGTTCATTTTAATTGTATTTATTCAGACAAAAATAATCTGAGATTACCAAGTCACAAAACAAAGGTCTGGGCCCTAAAAAATTAGTCTGTAACTATTAACATATAAAATATAAATACAAAATGTTTCAGCAGCACTAGACCCCTTGAATAGTTCACAATCATGCACTTAATGCATCAGTGCACCCATAACCTGACAGTATTGGCAAATTACACAAAAAAACATACTGTAGACAGTATTGATTTTTGCTGCATTTTGTACAAGAAAAATGAAAGAGTATGGATTATTACTCAGAATGTTGTGCATTTACATTTAAATTTTGTCCACACTGTCAAATTTTATGTGACAAATTTGTGTGATGTGCCCATATATGGGCATGATGATGTCATATTACACCCAAAAATGGGAATATCACAGTTATTTGTCACATAAAATTTGATAATGTGGACAGAGCTTTAGGCAAGCCCTACCTTTGCCACAAGTGTAAACATAATAATGATAATAATATGTCGTTCTTATATAGCGCTTCATGCCTTTACAAGGCCTTCTAAGCGCTTCACATTACTACCCCTGTCATTGGATCAAACACATATGGAACACATTGAAACACCAAATTAAATTAGTAAATGAAATTATATTATCATTCCATAAATTGCAGCTAGTAATCAGCGCAGGTTGTGTTGGAACCTACCAGGTACCCACTTATACTCCTGGGTGGAGAGAGGCAACCGTAGATAAAGTGCCTTGAGGCAACCGTAGATAAACATGACCTTATTTACTTCCATGAGAATACAATAGGAAAATATAATACATAACTAAAGGGAGGGGCATGGGGGTACATGCCTCTGGTTTTCCCACTGCTTAATATTTTGTAACAGCATATGTATGTATTGGATATATATTTATCATTTCAGGAACAATACTTTACCATAATTAATACTTTATGTATTCAAAACAATGCAATAAATAGTACATGAAAATTGATACAAACCTTTGAGAAATTTTCAAATGTTATGTGGCCCTGGTTGTCTTGGTCGGCTTCTTTGATGGTTCTGTCGGCAATCAATCCTAATTGATCATCAGTAATGTTGTTGCCCACCATCATCTCAAGAACGACCAGTAGCTCTTCTTTGCTTATCTTGTCATCAGAGTCAAGATCATACATTCTAAATGCAACTAAAAGAAAGGCACACACTATTAGAAAATAGAAATTTATTTGCATGTTGTTTATAATTCAACAATGAATAACAGCACAGCCGGTAGGTGTATTAGTAAAAAATTATAAAAATAAAGGTTAATACTTTAATAGACAATACTGTACTAGTATTTGCAAATACTTAATAAATTCAATAATCTTAACATTTGGATTTATGTTGTGCAAATAAAAAAATACAGTGAGAAAAGTTTAAAAACTGCCAGGTAGAGGCAAACCAAGATGCTAACCAACATTAGTCAATCTATCTACCTGAACTAAAACAGACATTTTAAAAATTATGGCTAACAAAAGGTGATGGAAATCACTGTGTGAAGGTGCTAGCGGAATTCTGACAAACGACGGTGAAGAAGCACCATAATGTTAATACATTGAACATACATTTTGGCCAGTTATAAACTGTTCATATATGTTTGGAACATTTTAATTATTGTACTGTATGCAAATAAAATGAATTATTTTTTTGGTCCGAAAAGTCTTGGTCAACGGAGGAGATTGAAAACAATTAATCAATCAAATTCTACTATTCATCATCAATAAATTCCATATAAACAAATAAGAAATGCAAGGATTAGATAATAATAAAAAATATGAATTTTAAAATAAATGCAAGTGATATTTAAAATTATGAAATGTACCTCCAAGAAACTCCAGGGAGCTTGTAAATACAATAGGAGCCCACCAAGCTCATGTATTTTATTTGAATAAACCTAAGGGGGAAAAAGGCTAAGCTAACAAAGCTGACCTAACAGACATAGAATTTAAAGTTAAAATTCAACTTCGGGGCAGAGTGGACAACCAAGTTCTCTATTTTGTTTTTTGCTGCAATTCTTTTTCAAATTTTATTGTATTTTGACCGATTTCACTGATATATATATATATTTAAATTTAAATTTTATTGATTGGCCTATTTTACTTGAATATTTTATGCTAATTTAATTTATGTTCTCATTGGCATCGGAGAGGCACTAGACAGTGATTCAGTTCACTTTTTGGCAATCCTGTATGGCATGTTGTTTTTTGCTTTGTTATCTTGTGTTTGTCAATTTTAATGTTTTTTGGAGGAAATAAATGAAATGAAATCAAGTTGACAAAAGAGGCTGAAAGGTTTGAATATATATCAATAACTAATAATGGTAGTGAGACCTATAATCCTATTAACAATAAGTGGCCTAATAATAATAAAAATGATTTATACGTATTATTATTTCTCATGAAGCAGAAATTAACTACCTGTACTAGGAAACATATTAAAGCAGGATGGGATTGTGTTTGTAATTAATGATATTGACAGTGGATCAGGTTTAAAGAAACCATGATACAAAAAAAAAAAATGACAGCACTTACATTTAAGTTTACTTTCAACACTGTTGACAGCAGCCTCACTATCACTCTTCTTGATTGGTCGAAAAATTGCCAATGTTTTCATAAAATTTTTGAAGTTGATATTTCCATCTTTACTGTCGGAAAAGAAAGCATGTATGATCCTGTCCCCTAGCGGATTTACAGCAAGTTCTGGAATTCGTAGGAGATCCTGTCGTCTACAAAGTAGCAAATATGATTAATGAAAACAAAAGAAAGATTTATATTTTTATTACCATTGTAAGTGGTGATTCCTTGCTGTTGGAAGGAATAAATAAATTAAAATAAAAAAAAAAAACCCAAAAACAAAACAAAAAAATATAAAATATTATTATTATTCTTCTAAACCATGTCCAGACATGAATTTTGACAGTGCCTATATATAGTCATGATGTGCCTATATATGGTCATGATGTGCCTATATATGGTCATGATGTGCCTATATATGGTCA